CAGGGTGAAAAGCTGAGCCAGAGGAGGGGACAGATTGTTAGATAATGTTTTCTTGCTAGGTACAGTGTCAGTGAATAAAGATTTTGATAATCAGAAAGACCAAAGATCCATATTCCTGACTCTTTTGCAGAATAATTAATAAATGTTATGGGAATCACCTAGTATCATCCGTACTGTGAGGGTTGATTTTATGTGTCGACCTGACCAGTTTAAGGATGCAGACAACTGGTCAGACATTATTTCTGGGTGTGCCCATGAGGGTGTTTCCAGAAGAGATGAGCATTTGAATCAGTGGACTGGGTAGGAAGGCCCGCCCTCACCCATGTGTTTGGGCACCATGCAATCTGTTGAGGGCCTAAATAGAACTGGAAGCCAGAAGGGAAAATTCTCTCTTTCTCTCCTTGGACTGGGTTGCCTCTTTTCTCCTGCCTGCGGATGCCAGCACTCCTGGTTCTCAGACCTGCAGACTCAGACTTGAACCTACACTGTTGGCTTTCTTGATTCTCAGGCCTTCAGGTTTGGGCTGCATCACACCACTGGCTTTCCTGGGCTCCAGGGTGCCGAGGGCAGATCGTGGGATCTCTCAGCATCCACAATCCCATGAGCCAATTCCCATAATCAATCTCGTTTTATCTGTATCTATATATAGATATCTCTTTCTCTATCTTATTATTCTGTTTCTCTGGAGAATGCGAATACAGAGTTCTTGAAAAGACTCTGAAAACAGCCACATCACCACCAAGGGATCACGGAGCCTCCTGGGTCACAAGAGGCCTGAGAGGCATGGCGGACGTGCCTGAGTTTCCTCCACAGGGTTCTTGTTAGGAGGTGACCCAACCCATGCTTGGCCACATTCAGAAAAAGGAAATGCATCCTCCCAAAGGAAGGCCCACTCCACTGCTGGAGAATTCAGGCTGCTGAAAGCTTCTTGCTTATATGATTTTGCCGAATTCCTTTTCTGAGTCTTTCCCTTTTGTTCTAGTCCCTTCTCTTAGAGGAACATGGAGCAATAACAACGATCTTACTGAGGCCAATTCTCTAGTAGGCTCCAGGCAGCCAAAGTGACAAAGGATGTGTATCCTCGTCCTTCACAAGATGATAGCTGAGAGGAGTGTGGGAGAAAATCACAAGCCCCCCAAGGTTAGGGTCACATCTATTCATCTGTATTTTAGTGATTAGTAGAGCACCTGGCAAAAAGTCGCTCTTCAGATAGTTTTGAGAGGCCCGGGAAATACAAGAACTACATTACCCTTCTCTGGTTACTCTTCTGTCCTGTTGTCAAACTCGGCCTCACCAATGAAAACGCACCTCACTTTGGTGGCAACTCCAGCTAAGCTCCTGCTTCCTACCCTCGCAACTGGCTTACAGCATCAAGCCCCATGGGGATGAGTGCTCCATCCTGCTCCAGACTGCCACGTCTCCACTGCGTCTGCACAGTGTCTGTGAGGCTCCATCCGCCATGACCCGATGCTGGCCATTCTGGCCTGGGCAGAGCTCCGAGGAGCGTGTGAGTGCTTGAACACGTGTACAATGCAACCCCCACCACAGAGTCTGTGCTTCTTGGATGCTCACTCAACGAGGTGAAAGGCACGGGGAAGTGGTTTCTGCTCTGTGTGAACTCAGTCTGGCCTGGCAGATAACAAAGACATGCAAGGAACTGCAAGGCAACTGTGGTAAGTGACATAGAAGCTGCCAGTTGGCCCTGGAGTTGAGAGGGAGAGTGATGTGCAGTGTCAGCGTGCTGTCCAAGGAGTTCTTGGCATGGCTTGAGGCACTTCACACATGGTCAGACCACTGGAACATCCCTCGTTAGGCACCATGTGTCAGAAGCCTTGTTAGTATGTCAAGGAATGCTCAGGTTTCCTGGAGGATTCATCCATTCACAGCTGCTAACAGGAAGCCAATGTGCTAGATGGGGCTGCTGCCGTGCCCTGGGCAATCCAGCTCCCTGATGTCTAATTGGGTGGGATGAAATATATAAATATAAAATAAATGAACATATAGGGTGTGCAAGACGGGGCAGGCAGGGAAGAGCTCATGTAGCAGGGACAGCTGAGCAAGACTGGCTGGCGGCAAAGGGATGGCCACAGTCTTAGGTCAGGTGAGCAGGAGTGACGGGCAGACTCCATGTGGGATGCCAGCCAGGGAAGGGGCACTAGGAGAAGTCGGGGAGCACCAGGGACCAGGCCCTCCACCTTTGTGACCTTGTCCTGCTATTTAAGGAGTCCAATGCATTCTGCATTGGCGATCACCTAGTTAGGGCGACCAGAGTGAGCAAATAAAACCAAGATGCCCAGATAAATTTGAATTTTAGATAAACAGTAAATTTTTCAGTTGTGCTACACAAAGGAAAATATTAAAATTCTCTGCTGTGGAAGCAAATATAAAACTAGCTAGAAGAGGCAAGGTGTGGTGACTCATGCTTGTAATCCCAACATTTGGGAGGTTGAGGTGGGAGGATTGTTTGAGTCCAGGTATTTGAGAGCAGCCTGGGTAACATAGTGAGACCCCATATCTACAACAACAACAACAAAAATTAGCTGGTGTGGTGGCATGCCCCTGTAGTCCCAGCTACTCAGGAGGCTGAGTCAGGAGGATTGTTTGAGCCCAGGAGGTAGAGGCTGCAGTGAGCTGTGATCATGCCACTGCACTCTAGCCTATGTGGCAAAGTGAGACCCTGTCTCAAAACAAACAAACAAACAAACAAACAAACAAACAAGCAAAACAAAACAAAAATACAAAAAACGAAAGAGAAAGAAAACAGGATGTAAGAAAGAAGAGAGAGAGAAGTCACAGTTACCATTGTTAGTGGGAGCTGACTAGGTAGAAAACTCCAGGTTGGCTAACCTCCCCTCAGCTTTGCCAAGAGACCAGTCTATGCCATGGCCAGCGATGTATCCAGCCCCAAGGTGCAGACAGGTGATTGGGCTGGGGAGAGTGTGGATGACCGAGTCTGGTTCTTCCTCCCTTCAGGACCCACTACAGAAATGAGCAGTGGGGGACCCCAGTCCTCACCCTGGAGCCAAGATGGCAAGGTGACAGCATGTCATAACAGCTGTTCAGAGCTGGGACCCAGGGATCAAGTTGAGCTGCACACCAACTGGGGTGCTGTGGGCAAGCAATCCCTTAGTATACCTAAGGCAGATAAGAGAAAGAGTTAACAACTAAAGATGTTGTAAGGATTAAATTAGTTAATGTAGGGAAAGGTGTTAGTTAAATTTCTGGCCCACAGTATCTATTTTATTCAAATTCCTAAGAAAATATAGTATCTGTGTGTCTACTTCGTCGACCAGACTGTATTGCAGATGGCTTAAGACCAGGCAGCAAATTTGAGGTGGAGCCATGGTTATCAGAATGGCTGCCCAGACCACAAAGCTGATTTATCTCAATCATAACAGCAGCAGATTCCTGTTATTGTAATGAATCACAGCATGTATGTGCACAGATGCAGGCACCGGGGTTCAGAGGGCCGGGTTGTATGGGGAGGGTAACGAAAAACAGACGCTTGCAGGGCCCTAACAATGTGTGTAGCAACTAAACCTGCAGCCTACTTACACAAAACAGGCCATAATGAAATCCAGTTTCAAAATGGAATATTTTTCCTAAATGATAAGGTATTGCATATGGTTCTTTTCCCATTGTGTAGTAATTCCTTCTAAAGCAAACGTTTTAAAGATTTTAACTGAGGTTGGAAAACTAAAACTTGCCTCAGTATAAAAATGTCAAAGCCATCTGCTAGAAAATCACAGCTCTGTGATATAAAACACCCAGAACTGTGTTGCTCAAACTAATTTAATCACAAAATACCATTTCCTTGATCCGAAGGGAAACATTTCTACTTGGCCACTAGAGCTTTCTGGAGAAAGGCACTTATATTTGCAGTATGGTATATTAGTAATTTTGAATTTCAAAGAGAAAACAGAGCAGGGATTTTGGAAAACAAATGTTGAAAGGGTAATTTCAATTCTTTGCAGATGATTTTGATAGAAAAGTTTCTGTTAAAACAACAGACAGACACTGAGAAACATGCCATCAGTTTGAAGGAAAGTAATTGAGTTGTGCTGTTTACATTTTATTTTGCACACATTTAACAACTGAAAGTTTTTCTGTACTATGAGAATAAAACCCCCCAAACACCAATGCAATGGCAGAAAGCTGAGAGTCAAATCAGGCAGCACACATATGAACACTGCGTTCACATGATGAGGACCACATTTTGGAGACGTTTTCTGAAAAGAACCTGTATATGTGTGTGTGTATGTATATATTCTTCTTTTTTCCTGCCAGAATTTTTTGTTGAATGATCAAGTTAGTTCTAGAAAATAGGTTCCAATATTGCTCCATTCATTGGCGTAGGTTGACTTTATCTTACTCCAATATTAATTGGCAGCTGTTTTCTCAGATAGTTTTGCATAAAATGGTGCTCAGCGAACAAGTAGGGTTTTAAACATGACACAGTCCTCTATTTGAGAATGTTTATGTTGTATATGTGCCTGTTAATTTAGTAGTTATGAGTTTAATAATAACTTTGAGTTCTTTAGACATGGATCCTCACATATATTAATAAAATCAGCTGTGTGCCTTAACCAACAGTGAGCATATTTTTAAAAATGGGCCTCTGAATTGAAAATTTAAAAAAAACCCTTCAGCATCCTATTAGGATTGATTAACCCACAGGAGGGTAGTCCTGGTAAGCAAATGTAACCAAGATTCTCCTTCCCCAGTGATTCCAAGTGCAGCCTGGCTCTCCTGGTCAGGTGCTTCCTTTACTCAAATTTTTCCCGATCTGTTCCTAGATCCTAATACCACCCTCTGTGTCAAACTGTGAATGCATCTTCAGTATCAGGGCTCAGGACTTGGAGCTGGGATTTTGCTGACATGGTCTTTTCTCTGGTTGTCACCTTCCATTTCTTTTTTGGTTTGCCTTTCATTTTAATGCCAGATTTTCTAAGTGTAAGAAAGGAGGGTGGAGAGTGGGCAGAAGTCATTGTTTCCATCATGAAAGTCAACATCAGTATTTCCTGTCCTGGGGACAAACCAGTGCCTCATGTTTCTGGAAACGCTGCAGTATTTGACTTCAATTTCAACCTGGATAACGCCAAAGCTTTTCCTCAAATTCGCCACTGGAGTAAGCTCATAGATGCTCTGATTTTGTTTATCGTTGCTGCTCCTTAATATCTCTTGCACAGGTGCCGTTGACCTTTAGATGGGCTGTACAGTGTGGGGTTTGGTGCCATGGATCTGCTTCTCCAGGGACCAGGATCTTGAGATCTTCAGGCTGGGTTTCCATGGAGGCATGGAGCTGCTTTTCCTCCTTCATAACTGCACTCAAAACAGCCCTGTTGCTCTAGAATGGAGACTTGGGCAACTCCTACTGGCACAGATTTGTTCACCTCAGGGGAAATTCAGATAGAAGCAAGCTGCAGTCAGTTTCACCTGTAAGTCCATGGGTTCTCAACTGGTAATGTCCTCTTATGGATGTTAGCCCACGAGGTCAATCCTGTAGCAATCTAAGGCTTGAGAAGAATTAATCTTCTGGAAAATTCCAAGAATACATCTTAGGGAAACTGGCTCTACTTTTATGACTTGGATAACACAAGGATATGCTTTTCATGTTGGACTAGAACTCAGAGTATTGGCCAATGGATGTGTTTTCTAAAACTATCCCAGTGAGTTCACCATACAGATGAAGATTCTGAGATTCAAGACTCAAGACTGAAGAAGATCATTATTTTTATTATTTTAGTCTGATGCGCAAAATGGTATCTACTGAATAGGCAGGTTTTTAATAGGTAGCTTATATATATTAGCAAAAATAAACACTTTGTCTTTTAGATCTATTCCAGTTTTTCAGTAGCTGTAGACTTAAGTGCTAACTTTTAGCCCATAGGATAAGAAGAAACCAAGTCCTAAAAGTAGGCCAGCACCAGGATTCAGGCCTCTGACTTCAAGCCAAGGGTTCATCATCTTCAATCATGCACGAATTTTTACATAGTGCCAGAGGAAACTGCCTGTACTTACTGTTGTAGGTAAGACAAACCTTTGCTTATTTTTACTTCTCATGAATAAATAGTTGTAAGAAGAACTGCTGAAACAAAGGGCATTAATGAGCTTTTGCTACATATAAATAGCGAGTGTGAACCAGCAGTGCGGCGGAAGAACAGTTTCCCCTCAGCCACAGCGGGACTATGTGATGTTCTCCAATGAGCTCATCTTGTCAATAATGTGTAGACCTTGATGTTCTTTTTAAATATGTGCTGATTTTATTACAAGTGAACCTGTGCTTGTTTTTTCCCTTATGCATATACGCTGTCTTTATACCTTTCCTTTCCCCCCATGAACTTTCTGCTCATATCTTTTGCCCGTTTGGAGGGAATAGTCTATTTTTTCTTATAGGATTATGAAATTTTTAATGTAATGATAATGTTAAGATTTTTTGACATGTACTTTATATTTTACCAGTTCATTATGTATATTTAAATGTTTCACTAGTATTTAAAAACATGCATCTTTCTTAAATTTTCCATAGTTTTATCTCTTAGCCATTATGCTTTTGCTTTCTGTGGTATATTCCTGGGGAGTCTCTCACTGAGATCATTCCGTTTCTCTAAGTTGGTAACTTTATCTCCCGTGATGAGAAAGCTTTTCAAAGGGAGAGCGTGACCATTTCCATATAAAGTACAATGTTGCTTTGGTGTTTAAGATTCTATTCCTGGGTGTCATTACTTCTTTTTAAATTTAACTTTGTTATGGAAAATATTAAGCATATTTAGAAGTATACTTAATATGAATGAAACCTCACTTGTTCATATCCTAGCTTCAATAATGATCAGCACTTAGCTATTCTTACTTCATCTACCCCTTTACTCTGTGTTTTATTTTTCCTGGAGTATTTTGAAGCAAATTCTAGAAGTATACACACACACACACACACACACACGCAACACCATATTGGTATTGGTGTATATATATAATACATATGTTTTATATATATAATGTGTATAATACACACACACACACACACACACCCTGGAATACTACTCAGCCATAAAAAAGAGTGAAATCATGTCTTTTGCAGTAACATGTGCAGAACTGGAGGTCATTATCTCAAGTGAAACAACCCAGAAACAGAAAGTCAAATACTTTGTGTTCTCATTTATAAGTGGGAGCTAAATAATGTGTTCACATGGACATAGAGTGTGGAATAACAGACATTGGAGACTCAGAAAGGGGGGAGGTTGGGAGGGCAAGGGGGGGATGAGAAATTACTTAACAGGTACAATGTATACTAATCAAGTGATGATTACACCAAAAGCCCAGGCCTCACGACTATTAAATCTATCCACGTAACAAAACTGTACTTGTACCCCCTAAATCTACAAAAATAAAAAAAGGAAAAAGGTATAGAATGGAATAGTATACTGTAGTCATCATAAATGAATCTCAGCTAAATATAAAAGTCATTGTCCTTTTGCAGGTGCTTTGCTGGATTCAGGATGCAGACAAGGTCCATGCACTGTGGTTGGGTGAGGTGTCTCTTAGGTCTCTTTTAATCTGTAATACATCTCCCTGTTTTTTTAAAGTGCATTTATTTGTTGAAAAAACTTGGTCATGGGTCATTTTTCTGTAGAGTGGATTATGTTCTGGATTTAGCTAAATGCCCTCTTCTTGAAGATTTATCTTCCACACCTCTTACACGTGGTTCATATCCAATGCTTGATTAAACTCACGTATTTTTTTATTTTTTATTTTTTTGCAAAGCCACTTTGTATGAATGCTGTGCACTTCCTGTTGTACCTTCATCACATCAGGAAGCAACAATGTCTGGCCTTCTCGCTTTTAATGTTGTTAAGATTGGTGAGTGCAGGTGTCAAGGACCTATGAGTCACCAATACTCTACATCTCTATTGACAATTTTCTCCAGAATTCAGAGTCTGTGGTGAGCATAATTGTTGGGAGTGCTGGGTTGGAGTCAGACACTCTTCAGTTTGAGTAACAGTTCTGAAAGTCACTTGTCATGCCTGAGCTAGGTCGCTCAAGCCCTCGGACCTTTCAGGGCTGACTCAGCTTTAGGAGTGGACACTTCATTTTGTGTGTGGGACTGTTGTTTGAGTGGGATGAGTTGTGTGAGCTGGGCTTTGGCCCGGTCTTGGAAGAGTGGTAGCTGTGATTTAGTGGCATTTGTTTCAAGCAGATGGAATTTGTTTAGATGACCCTAAAGGTCTTTCCAAATCTGATGTACTAGGATGAATTATCAGACAGCTCCTATAACTGGGTTACCACATATTACGGGTAAATCTGGGGGAAGAAGAGCTCATCATTCAGTTGTAATAGTTCAATAGAGATGACAATTCTGCCAGATTTGGGTCCTGTGGGCAGAGCTGAGAGGTCTGTAAATTCACATTCACTCTTCAAGCCCTGGTTTATAGCAGCCGGCCAAGTGTGTCACTAAGATGAAGATAGATTATAATGACTACATTTTGGTAATTCATTTACTTTACTGAAATCAGTGCTCAGTCATGTTACAGGCGAGACTCCATCTGGTTCCCATCAATGACAGAGGGAGCACCATGTTTGGACAAAGGGGCTGCATCTGTGTCGATGCAGGAAAAGCTGCGTGGCTTATGCAGCAAATCACGGTGTAGACCACCAGCTGGGCCAGTCCGGGTCCAAGTCAGCTGGGTGACTCTATCCTACCGTTCATTCACTTCTGCATTCGACAAGTACTGTGGACACCTGCTGTGTGCCAAGCACTGCTTGAGGTGCTAGGGGGAGATTAGGGAGCAACAAAAAATTCCCTGCCCTCCTGCAGCTGATGCATATTCCAACTGAGGGGTGGGAGTGTAGCCAACAAACAATGGACATAATCCCCAACTCATAGAGCAAGACATAGGTGATACAAATCATGGCAAAGAAAGCATTGTGCAGACTGAGGGGTTTCTTGTTTCCTAAGAAGGATGTGGATTGCAATTTAAGGTGGGATGGGGATTGGTCTGAGATGTGAGCCTGGCTGACAAGATCAGGCAGGAAATGTCTCCTTCATACCCCGCCTACCCAGTAGACCACCTGCTTGGCACTGATCTGGGCCTTCGTGTAACCGCTGAGCACAGGAGGGCCATTGCTGCTTGGCATTGCCCCTATGGATGCCTGGATCACGGTGCTGCCGGTCCCTCTGCTGCCTCCTCTCTGTGTCCCCTCATTGGTCCTGAACTCCATTCCCTCCTGGGTCGTCTTCAGGCCATGATTTGCATGTTGGCTCTCTTTGGGGCCCACGGTGCTTCATTTATTCCCAAAGGTACCTTCTCCTTCCTATTCTGATTGAGACTAAAAGGCCTCCTGATACCATTGCTTTGCCAGGACAATATTACTTCCCAGGGAAGACTCTACTGGCACATTTTAGGCATTTCTGGAAGAACACCATATCATCATCATCACCATCATCACCAGATCTTCCCCAAGCCTCATCTGGGAGGGTCTCATGGGAGCCACATACGAACTTGGTTAGGGACCTCTCCTGAGCCTGGACTGATGGCTGGCCCAGCCCAGGCTTTTGTTTGCCACAGGAAGAGAGCTTTGTGCAAACCCTTGTTTAACCTGGCCTTCCCTCTTTAGAAAGAGAATGTTCACCAGATGAATCATGCCTAACATGCTCGCTGGAGCCAGAGGACTTTGGCTCCCAGGCTGTTTACTGCAGCGCAGACTTTGTCCCGTAAGCGTTCTTTAGAAAGTAAAATGGAAAGAAAATTGTAATTGTTTTTGTTGGAAAAAAAAAAAAAGTTGAATAGTTTCCCTGGCTCAGGCTAGCTGGTGGCAACCCTGGCCCCAGCATGCTCCTCAGTCGCCCACTCTCCCCTGCAGGGCCAGTGTGCCCTCGCCTGTCCACACTGCTCTGCGACCAGGTGCTCTGCTGTGCCCTTGCTCGGGGGCTGACTGTGCACAAGGTGACGCGTGGTATGTGTCGATGTCTGACAGGCTCACATGGACAGGGCTGTGCTGTGGCTGTGCTGGGGGCCCTCACCTGGTCTCTCCGCTGACTTCCTCCCACCACTGCCTGCCTTGGGTGGGAGGACACCCGGCCTTCCTAGTCCTAGGCAGTGTGGACTTAGAGAGGCAGAGCGTGCTGCAGGCAGGGTCTGTGTTTGGCTTTTGGCAGCCTGGATGAAATCCCGGCTCTGCCACCTCTCAGCTATATGTGAGTGGCCAGGTCCCTTGACCCATCCTGAGTTACAGTGCCCACTTTGCTCGTTTCTGGACCTCAAATATGGCACTTTTGGTCTTTCTCCCCTTTGTGACATTAGAGGAAATCTCTGAGACATCATGGAGTTGCCATTGAGCTTGCCTTCCCGCCTGCACAAGCAGGTCCTGAGGCAGCTTCCTGCAGCCCCGCAGATCCTGCAGCATCTTCAGGGCTCAGAAGCCTCTGTGTTTGACTCTGGCTCAAATGTAATTGCAGCTCTAGAGGAAGCGACCCACACCACAGGGAAGCGAGGAGGCTGGGGGTCGCGTCCAGGCGTGCCCACAGCAGGGGCTGGGAGAGCCACCATGGCATCGGCCACAGAGCCAGGGAAAAATGCCATCCTATGATACGCAGTCCTGTCTTTAACCCAAATGATGTGTCTGCAGAAACTGGCTGCATTTGCTACTTGGACAGATGGACAATGTTTCAATGTCTTAATTAGCATGTCGGGTAATCACTGCCATTAATCTTGTTCTTTTTTCCACATTCATTGGCCATTTTGACTTCTCCATACCCATCTTTCTTATTGAAAAACATGATAGGAAACTTTTACTTATTAGATAAATTATGAAGACCTAATGCGTGGCATGGTGACTATAGTTAATAATGCTGCACTATATCCTTGAAATTTGCTAATAGAGTAGATTTCAAGTATTCTTACAAAAAATGTAGTGATGGATATGGTGATTAGCTTGTTCTTGATAATCTCAGAATGCCTGTTTATATCAAAACAGCTTGTACACCTTAAATACTCAATTTTTATTTTTTAGTTATACTTCAATAAAGCTCAGAAAACACACACACACACATATTCACACACACAAGTAGTAGTGGCCAAAACAGACAACTGAAGAATTCCCTTGGCGGCCTGCGCTGAGCCCTGGGGCTGTTCGTGTTCCCAGCCCTCTCTCAATCCTCAGATGGTGTGGTCCTGAGCTGCTGCCCCACTGCCCTCCTCCTCTGTCTCCATCCCTTTCCATTTGGCTCCTCCTCCTACACACGAGTGGAAACTGTGCCCTCCAAACCCAGGGGACTGCAGAAGCCTTGCCCGGCATCTCACCGCAAAGCCACGGTGGAAGCAGTCTCTTTGCCCTTCTCCACAGGGCTCCATTCCTCATCCATCCTTTTCTCCGCGTCTCCTGCTCACTCCTGCTGTCCACTGTCCTTTCCTCTTGGGTTCTGTGTTCCCACAGCCCCTCTGTGCATTCCACACGTGTCCCTGAGTGAACTCTGCAGTCCCTGCCGGCCCCATACCCACTTGCCCTGTGTCCTGAGCACAGGTCTTCAGGTAACAGTGACTGGTGGGTGTCTCCACATTGTGACATTCTACTGGAACCTGAAACAGCTGCCCCTGACAACGGCTCAGCAGAGAATCCCTGGCCATCCAGCTCTGACAGGGGCATGGATTCTGTTCTCATTCCTGCCAGTCTCTTAGTTGTCTGTGCCTTCACCCTGTAGTGGCCCATTCAACGCTAAGTCCAGCTGCTCTCCTTTCCAAATCTGTGGAGTCACCCCCTAATTCAGTTCCCGTGAGCTTAGTGGCTGTGATTTGATCATTCCCATCCATTCTTAGACTGCTCCAACCTTGTCCTACACCGCCTTATTTCTTACAAGATGGCAGTATTAACACGGAGAATGAAATTCCTAGCTTTTTCTCCTTTCAAGCCACCATGATCTTCCCAAGCACAGCTCCAATCCTACTTCTCACATATTCAAAAGCGTTGACATTTCCTCACTCACCCCAATTGTTTTCACATGCAACCCAATGTCCCTACAGTCTGTCGCCTACCGACTTTTCAGCATTTTCTGGATGATCTCTCCGTACAACCCTTGGAGTTCTCTTGTTGTCTCTCTTTTCCAGGGTCTCAGCAGCTTTTGTCATTGCTAATGATTCCCTCCTTCTGACACACTGTCTTGGCCTCCAGGCCCCATTCTCTCCTGTTCTGTGCACTCCACACGGCTACTGTCCATGGGGTGCAACTGTGACTCAGTTCTGGCTGTCACTCTTTCTCACGTGGAGCTCTCCTCTGGCTGTCTCATTCAGGAGCTTGGCTTCGTGAACTCCCATGTGCAGCTGACATAGACACTGAAATCTCCTTCTAGAGCTTTCTCCTCAGCTCCAGAAACACACAGTCAACTGCCTTCCTGAAGCTCCCATGTAGATGGCACCTGGATCTTGACATAATGAAAACAGAGCCTGAATCTGGAGCTCCAAGTCACACCTTGTTCCCGTGGTCCTCCTGTTAGAATATTGCCGTGGAGACAGCAAACCCTCATCTACCCCAAATGCAGTCTGTCCCCGCTGATTCTGTCTGTCAGGTGGTCTCAGACACATCCGCCTTTATCCACAGCCAGCGTCTCAGTTGGAGCTGCAGCAGCCCTCTCGAGACTGCCTGGTGGAAATGGCCAGGACGCCTCTCTGTGCTGGTCCTGCAACTTGCAGGCTTCTCCCCGCACTGCCTCTGGCCAGCGTGGCCTTTTTCAAAGCTTCACTGTGCCGCTGTCCTGCCTAAAATCCTTCAATGTCTCTACATGCTTCACGGGCCTTTTTTTTTTTTTTTCCCCCAGATCAATGACTAGATCTTTACCTGGTCCACAGTCCTCCCCATTCTGGCTGCAA